TTTTTTTTTTTTTTTAATCTGTAACTTTAGCAAGTTTAACCGAGTTAATCATGAAAATCTTGAGGGGACATGAGAGACAAATTGCATGACTGTTTTTCCTTTATATGTTTGTTTTTCTTTTCTGCACAGGTATTTGGGCAGGAATGCGTACTGTTCGGTACTTTGATGGTAAAACTTACGAATGGGTTGGTATAAGTCGGCAGCCTAATATCATGGGCAAAGTAAGTGGGCTTGTGGCATTTTCTTACAATTTTTGGTTTCTTTTGCTATGCAAGTTGCTGGTGTGTACATTCAAAATCATGATTTGATCGTTTGTTGCTCTTCATTTAATTCTCCAGGTGAAAAGAACACTAGGTCAATTTACACCTGCCAGGTGGGATAAAGACGAATGGCATCCCCTTCTTGGCCCCTTGCGATTTATTCAAGTTTTGAGCCTTTGCATTATTTTCTTGACTGTGGAACTCAACACCTTTTTTCTCAAGTTTTGCCTTTGGATTCCTCCTCGGAACCCTATCATAATCTATAGGTTGGTTTTGTGGTGGCTTATAGCAATACCCACGATTCGTGAGTATAATTCCTACTTGCAAGACAGGTATTTCCAATTCACCTGACCATAAATAAATATACGTTTTTTTTAATGTTTTATTGAACTAGCTTTTCTGTTTCTCATCTTTTGATTTACTGCACGATTGTTTTCAGAAAAACAGTAAAGAAAGTTGGAGCATTTTGCTGGCTTTCGCTTGCTATCTGCATTGTTGAGCTCCTTATTTGTATTAAGTTTGGACATGGTAAGTATTCCATTCCGCTGGCGCTTATTTTAGTTATTACCATTTTTTATAAACAAATTCGTATACGAGGCGACCTAACAGTCAGACGGATCAATCTTTAATACATTTGTAACAAAAATGCATACTTTTGCTATGAGATTTCGTTCTTTTAGAGTATGACATTTTAGTTTGAAAGTATACATATCTGTTGGAAAAGTCTAGTTGCCTAACCATTAGGTTTGCTAAGCATATATACGTTGGATGGTTTTTTTTTTTTCTTCTTAAATTTAAGTTATGGTTATATTTGTTTTGATTGGGGACATTAACAAAATTGAGTTTCTTTCGAATACATTTCTAAAAACATTTCTTACGGTTTTGCAGGATTATTCTCTAATTCAATGCCCGGGTGGTTGGTCGTATTTTGGTCGTTTGCTGGGACTGTGATTGTGATTTTCTTGGCTGTATGGTCATGGCAACAACTGCACAGATCAACAAAGAGAAAGCTGCAATAAGTTTCTATTTTGTGATCCCCACATTTTTAGATTTTTACAGTTACTATTATATTTTGTTATAGTTTTGGGTAGTTAACGATATGTGTGTAAATACTAAATACCCATATTTTTAGTTTTGTATGTATATGTTTTCAACTGGTGTAGATTAGATCTCTCATTTATTGGCAACACTTCAATTCTTTCAGTGTTAGGTGTCATCGATTGTCGAAAGCCAAAACCTTTCTATATTCCTTCATATATGTTAAAAAAACTTATGGTACGGTATTTAAAACATTGTTTTCGAAAAAAAAAAACGAGCAATTACCACCACCACACAACACACCCCACAAAGGGGTCAGTTATCAACATATGAACAACCTTGTATAACATTTACTTACAATTTAAATGATCAAAATATCCTGCAAATTCCCTGAGTTGGGTTAAAATTTATAGACCTTACATATTTAGGGTATTCGAAAATGGATCGTGCATCAGTCTTGAACCGAACCGTCCTTTTTAAGCTGCATTTTTCGATTCTTTCCACAACTCTTCTTCAACATCAGAGCTAATATGAAGTACTTTCTTGCATGCAGTAAGCACGGTAGAGAGTCTGCTGTAATAATAATCAACGAGTGGGATTAGTATTTAGCAGCAACGGATACATCAACTTTCACAAGCCATGAAGGACATAATTTCGACTCAACTTGATAACTAGGAGAACAATACAAAAAAAAGCATAAGTCTAAGTAATGAACAAGAGAAAGCTATGCCAAGGTTAAATAAGAATTAACACCTTAAAACCTTAACGGTGGACATAATCGTCAGTTAAGAAACAGATAATCACAAGGACAAAGCATTAAACGTGGAGAATATTTAGTCTTAGCAGATAGAATTACCAGCTCTCCACACTCTTAACTTGATGGAAATACCATGGTTACAGAGCTATCAGCACAGTCGGCAATATTTGTGACGCAAACAGATGACATCTGCATCTGCAAAAGTGAAAGGCAAAGCCTGTTGAGTATACAAAGAAAACTACAAATTATTCGAGAAAAATCCATACAAAAACCTAGTATAGCCCAGAGGCTAGTTCCAGTTTCTAGAAGCAGCAAAACCCATTTTTGGCATGGTCAGTGCTTCCGGAACAAGAAGTCATCCGAAAGGCACATGAAGTTCAAAAATTCTAAATGAGGGCAAAAATGAAAGCAGGTTAACATACTTAAAAGAATATGACGATTCAATTCATTCATTCCGGAAACATAGCCAAATTAAGCGCGAAAAAAATATAAACAAGACATTCAAACGAGCACATTGTAAACAAAAGTTGGATTTGTGTAAAAATCTGTAAATATCAAAAGATCACCATCACAAATAACTTTTTTCATACCCGCCAAAGAATTCAATCCCAAAAGTAAATCTTGGATGAGCAAGTATTTCAAGATCCACCAAGATCCAACTGTGTTTCACTCAGGTCACTGCATCAGCAATTTTTCCTTATCATCCACAAGTATACGCTCAAGCTCTTGGGCTACAAACCATTTAAGGTCCTTTCTCAAATGCTTGAAAAGTGCACTATATGTACAAGCATCAGGTTGGATTCCTTTATCCAGCATCTCCTTGTACAATCTCAGCACCTCATCCCAATTGCCAAGTTCACAGTTCTCGTTTATCATTATAGTGTAAGTGTGCTTGTTCGGCAGAATTCTTTTCGTTTGCATTTCACAAAACAGCTTGTAGGCCTCGTCCATTTTCCCAACCTTACAAAGCCCGTTTATAAGACAATTGTACGTGATCGCGTTCGGAAAAACACCCTTCTCCTTCATCTCTGATAAATATATAAATGCCGATTCTACCCTTCCCTGGCCCGCGTGCGCATGAATCAAAACGGTGTAAGTCACCACATTTGGGGACAAGCCTTTGCCCAGCATCTCCTCAAACAATTCCCGGGCTTTCTCCAGATATCCACTTTCCAAATGAGCACGTATGATGCTTGTGTAAGTTACTTGATCCGGGTTAAAACCGTCATTTATCATTTTTCGAAATAACTCGTACGCTTCTCCCAGATCAAACAACTTAGAAATCCCGTCCACAAACACGTTATAAATAATTACGTCACCTGCGAACCCTTTTGTCAGCATCTCCTCTTGCAGCTTCAAATCCGAGCTCATGTCCCCAAGCTTCAAATTCCAGTCTATGCAGGCTGTGTAAGTAATTCGATCGGGTTTCAACCCAGCCCGAACCATCTCCTCGTAGAACTTTTTCGCCATGAGTAGATTCCCTATCCTGTAAGAACCATTTATGAGGATTGTGTATGTAATGATATCAGGAGAAATCCCACAACCAGCCATCTCGTCTTTAAACTTCCGCGCGCCTTCTAAATCTCCATTTCGCGAGAACCCGTATATAATTGTATTATAAGTAACTACAGTCAGACTTAAATTCCTTCTTTTCAACTCGGATAACAATGAAAGAGCCTCTCCTATTTCCCCCAACAGACAGTGCCCATATATCAGAACATTATACGAAATTACATCAACTGCCAAATGATGCTTTAGCATGACAGCTACCCAATGCCAGGCATAATCTACCAGCCCTAGCTTGCAGTAGCCATGCATCAATGAGTTATACGTGTACACACTTGGAAAGACTCCTCTTTTTTTCATCTCCTCAACTAGCCCCAAAGCCTCAATTAGCATTCCCTTCTGACAATACCCGCTTATTAAAGAATTGTAAGCATAAACCGAAACTTTCATCCCCTTTCTCGACATCTCTTCCATTAACTCTTTTGCATTCTCGAATTCACCTTTCTTTGAGAGACAATCAATCAAGGCATTATACGTAACATCGTTCGGGTGGCAACCCTTTCTTTGCATCTCGTGCAATAGTTCAAACGCCTGTTGCACATTCCCTTCTTTACAGAAAAAATCCAACATTGTATTGTACGTGACGAGAGTCGGCTCAATCCCAAAAGTACCCATCCATCCATATATGTCCCTAGCTTTACCAAGATTATCTCTATCTCTAAGCAACCTAAGAATCCTATTGCAATTCTTCACGTCCGGCAAAAACCCATTATTTACCATGTTCTCAAAAACCCATAAACACCTCCCGATATCCGAGTTCTTCGTGTACACCCACAACAACAAATCGAGCACCTTGCCCGAAACCTCATTTTCCACATGCCCACCGGTTAATAAGCTGACAATTCCATGCATGTTGACATCAATGACCCTCTCCACAACGCAATGGGCAGATCTCATCAGACCATTACGCACCAGCACCTCAAGAACATCACAAAACACGATTTCCGAGTGTTGAAACCCCTTTTGGCGCTCAGCCCACCGGAAAATCTTCAGCACAGTCGTCGGCCGGTCCTGAATTGAACGTATCACGCTCACGAGTAAATCCAAATCACTCGCCAACGCATTGAAATAATCCGGGCCGACCCAGTGTGCATTCTTGAACGCCCCAGGATGTTCAAGCGCTGTTTTCAGGATTAGGTCCTTGTAAAGCCGGTGCGAGGGTTTAACCCGATAATCCCCTTTCGATAAATTTTCACCTCTGCTAATATTCTCCACAGCCTTCGGACTCTGGCTGTTCAATTGCCTGGCCGGAATATTTTGAGCGGGGAATAAGGTGAAGCGTGCCTTGAAGCTATACGCAGCGTTGCGTGAACAGAACAAGAATGAGAAATTTTTTACGGGGATTAAAGATTTTGGAGCAATTAGGCAAAGGGTCATTCTGTGGTGGGCAAAATCTTTATCTTCTCCGACGAGAAGGAAATTGAGCAGAAAATCTTGAAGTGTACATTCATAAGACTACTACGACGGTACCACCGTGCAGCGCAACAACTGTGGAAATCGTTTTCAGGCTGTTCCTTCATTTTCTTTATTTTTTTCCTTATTTTTGTTTTCAGTGTTTTTGGCTTTTAGGACTTGAGTGTGTGTGTATATGAATAAATATTGAGATTCGACCAATGTTTTGAAACCCTCCGAATCACTGGAACGTGATTAGGGTGAGCAAAATCGAATCGAAAAAAAAAAAAAAAAATGGGGATAAATATCACTCTTTATATAATATTCGAATGTGTAGAGTCTAAGTGGCAATATCGTTTGCTTAGTAAACTTATTTGGCGTTAACTAGTGTTTTATATCGACACCTGTTCATATTTGGTTTTGACTATGAGACTTGGAAATTGTCATAAATTATTTTATCTTCTCTTTATTTTTTCTTAATTTATCATATACTACTTTTACCTTTTTTATTTAATTTATATATTAGTTATAATAAATATGTAGTCTTTTTAATTTTAAAACTTTATAACTTTTTTATTTGTATTTTATTTTTATATATGGTCTACCAAAATAATAATATTTTAGCGATCTTTGATTTGACATTCATATTGCATATATAAAATAAATAATAATTTCATCTATAAAATAAATAATAATTTTATTATCAACTCAATTTAAAATACATCAAATAACAATATAAATTATTTTATAAAAATAATATAAATCTAATTCATTACTACAAATAAAATATTCATTTTATTTTTTCCATAAATTTTGGAAAAAAATAAAAAAGAAGTATTACATAAAATAAATTTTAAGAAATATTATAAAATATTATTTCTCAATTTAAATAGATTATAAAATACTAAATGTTATTATGTTATTTAAAATAGCAAATATAAAAGCATATAATAATTAAATATAATAAAGTAATTTTATATTTCATAAAGTTAGAACATAATATATTTCTACGTAAATTCAAAATTATAAATTATATGAATTTAAAATACTTGAAAAATTAATAGACGTGAGACACTAACTCTATAAATATAAAATATAATTACAATACAATAAAACTTTTTTTGTTTAAAAAACAAATCAAATATATGGAGTTGTAAAAAATATCAATTTTATATATATATATAATTTTAAAAATAGAATTAAAATATCTTTTTTGACAAAAAATTATCATTTTGTTAGTTATTTATTATTGTTGCATATTCATCAATTTTACAAAAAAAAAAAATTAAATTTTATATTTAATTTTTATTGTACAAATTAATATATTCAAGTACTCGCGTAGTACACGGGTATTGTACTATTTTATATATATATATATATATATATATATA